AAGGCACTTGGACTGCATGGACGTAGGTACCAAACCCTTTTGGCCTGGATCTGCTCAATTGTTATTTCTTTTCTCCAAAATAGATTTACAAGTACTTGCCATCTTAATCTCATTCTCCCTCCCTGGGCAGGGAAATGCTCGGCGTGCTCCTTTACCTGCCAGGGTTACTGAGATTTTAGGGGACTGAAAAAGCAGATTTGTCTTGCTGTCCCTGTGCTGTCAGGGAGGGGGGATACTGGCTGCCCCTTCACATCAGGACTCCAGCAGATGGAGCACAGGCCTCCAGGCTGCACATCACTGAGACGGCCCCCGTTCTGTGACCGTCAGAGGTGTTGCTGCTCCTGGGAGCTCCCAGAGGAGCAAATCGAGGCCGAGTTTGCACCTGTCTCTCTGCTGGTCCCAGGCTGCCTCAGGGCAGGGACTGGAAACCATCCTGGCACACGGGGCTAAACCAGGGCATCTGTGCCAGAGGAGCCAGTGGCAGGTTGCCCGAGGCTTTGCTGAATCAGCCATTGCCACCTGGCATTCCCCTTGCTGCCGAGCCCTCAGTCCCAAGGTCATGAATGTGCCCCGCATGGCCCTGCCCCTTACTCCACCACTCTGCAGCGTCACACAGTGAGCACCATGTGCTTGCCCAGCACTTGCCAGGCCTGGGGGTGCGGTTATGAATGAGACAGACACCATCCTTGGCTTGTGGGACATACAATGTGGCAGATAGACACCGAATAAACCGTTGCCTGTGTGTGAAAAAGGGCTAAGGAAGGGGATTGTTGTGGCCTGGAGGAGGGAGAGAAGAGCCTGGTCTTCAGGGGGTGAGGTCAGGAAAGGCCTCCCGGAGGAAAGCAGACTCTCCCTGGTGTCTGAGAATGCCTGGGAGGGGGGCAGGGGGGCACGGTTGGGAAGACCTCCCTCGCCTTCCTTTCAGACACTCGTCCCCTTTGCTGGCTTACCTTGCTCCCCACACATAACCCCTGCCTTCGCAGAGCATGGCCTTGCTTGCCAAGCCAGTGGACAGTGTTAGTAAAAAGCCCGGCTCGGAGGAGGTCCCCTGCAGGCATCAGCCAGCCTTCAGAGGCTGTGCTCTTTAGTGGGCATGGAACCGTAGATAAATAAGCAAGTGACTGACCGCTCTGTGCGCTGGTGACCTGTCAGAGAGAGGTTCCTTTGAGGCCGCCCGAGGACTGAGGTGATGCCTGGGGAGCACTTGGGGCAAGGCCTGTGTGAGGCCAGGTTACGAAACCCTTTCCCTGTCAGCATCTTAGAAACTGACTCTGTTCAGTTAACTCCGTTTTTCCCTGGCAACCCGATGACTGTAGAATGTCAGGTGTTCCCTGGCCGCAGCGCTGTGGGAAAACTGACCTCTGCCAGGTGAACTGCATCTGGACTCTGAATTTTCTGTCCGACCTCTGAATACTGATGAGGGAGCCAGAGCTTTGGGCTTCCCAGGTGCAGGGACCCTAGAAGTTCTGTCTGTGGGTTGACACAGGAGATGTTGGCTCCTGTCGGGCGGGGAGCCAGCGCGCTTCCTGTGCCCACTCAGCTTGCACCTGGATTGACACCTGGGGGTGACCGTATCTGTGTGGCGAAAGGACTAGACTCTTCTAGCGCCAACATTCTGTCAAGTCATACATTTAAAAATATCCATTGAGAACCTACTGTGTGGTAGGTGCTAGAAATACATTGTTGAATGAAACAGATCCATTCTGTGCCCTGAAGGCATTTACAGTCCAATGGGGAGCTCCTATCAATCAAAGTATCACCTAGACACTAGTAAAAGAGCACTCTGATAGTGTGCACATTGGGCTGTGGGCGCAGTGGGGAGACTGACCGGGGAAGGCTTCCGTGAACGTCATGATGGAGCTGGGATCTGATGAACAGGCATTATGAACCAGACACAGACGGGGGAGGGAACATTCTAGGAGGAGACCACAGCACAGGCAAAGGCTTGGTGTGGGACGGTGCAAGGTGGAGAGAATGAGGCCAGGTAGAGCTCTGCCAGGCAGGTCCTTAGAGGTAGGGCTGAGAGCTTCCTCAGTGACCCTGGGCCATGGGTCAGGGAGAGCTGCTGCCCAAACAGTCACGCTGGGGTCATTTCTGCTGCTTCATCTTAAGAGCAGTGAGATCAGGTTAGTGCAGGGTGGGCATGTGTGTGGCAGGAGGAGGGCTTGGCTTGAGTGGATTTGCAATTGAAAAACTGATTCTGGCTCCAGGATGCTGAAATTAAATATGAGAGGAGTGACATTTGAAGGAACTTTTAGCGAAGAGGTTTGGCTTGGTGGTTTGGCCCTCGGACCAAAGGGTCTTGGGTTCGAGTTCCAGTCAAGGGCATGTATCTGATTTGCAGGTTGGAAGACAATCAGTGTGCCTCTCTTACATTGATGTTTCTCTCTCTTCCCCCTTCCTTCCTCCTTTCCACTCTCTTAAAAAAAAAAAATCAATGGAAAAAATATCCTCCAGTGAAGATTAACAAAAAAAACAAACAAAAATGTTCCAGTGGTGAAGGAAGCCCACAGTGTGGGCTGGTTTATAGAGCATCTCAGGGGGATTAGCAGAGAGGAAAGTTTGACCTCTAATTTCAGGGGTCTTGACTGTTCAGGTTGGTGTCCCAGCCCACCCCATTTTTGGCTTCCATGACCCCAAATCACCCTTCTATGTTGCGGACCTTACAGATTGTGGAGCTGTAACAGGAGGTTCCTAAGCACATCCCAGCCAGGAGCAGACCTTCAGAGCATTCAGAAACAAGAAATCAGGCCCACAGCAGCACTTTCTGTAGCTCAGAGAACTGTTCCTGGCATTGGAGACAGACATTTTCCATCTGATAGGATGAGTGAAAATCACATTTCTCTTTCTTTCTCTCTTCCCTGCAGGCTTATATTTGGCACCCTTTACCCTGCATATTATTCCTACAAGGCCGTGAAATCAAAGGACATTAAAGAATATGTAAGTAGCACTTTGGAGTGGGGGAAACTGGGTGTGAACTGGTGGGAGAAGGTGGGTGCTCTCTGATGTGGGCACTGGCCGCGGGGCAGAGGGGTCCCTTCACTACTCTTCTCGTGAGACATACGTGGTGTGCCCCAGGAACCTCTCCCTGCCTAGACTTCCTCCTCAGAACTAGAGGGTAGGAGTGAGGAAAGCAGGGAGGTACTGTGAGGAGTCGGAGGTCCCCAGTCTACCACATGCCACTGTGTGCCGTTGGATGAGTGACTTCACCTCTCTGGGCCTCAGGTTCTTTGTCTGGAAAACACCATGTAGACCGTAAAGCATTGTTATTGGGAGACAGTCTGGCACCAGGGATAGGAGCACGGGTCCTAGAGTCCAGCAGACCTGGTTCAGCTCCTGGGTCTGTGACTTGGGCTCTACCCCATCCCAATTCTGCAGTTCAGATACCCCATGACTTAAGCCCTGTTGCTTTATAAGCTCGTAGAGGGCAGGAGTGGTTCATTACTCTATGACCATTTCCCCCACAGCACCTAGCAGGGGGCTGAGCACGTGGGAAGGGGCTCCTTGGTGCTTGCTGGTTTGGAGGATGTGTTATTGTTGGGTGATTTGGGAGCCGCGGCCATGGCCCTAGATGTACTGGGCACCTCTAGACAGGAGAACCATAAGACCACCTCTGACAAAGACCTGCAGGAGTGGGTTGTGAGGGAAGGAGAGACACCCAGGTCAAAGTACAGAGGAGGTGGATTTTGTCATGCAGAGCCTGAAGCCAGGTCCTGGCTCTGACACTTGATTGACGCAGTGCTGGGCAAGAATGTAACTTCCACGAGCCTCCTTTCTTCACCTGAGCTGGGGGTGCACAGCAGCAACCTGGCCCCTAGTATTGTGAGGGACAGAGGGTCTTTGCTCTCCCTCTTTTGCTCAGAGGTGTCACTTGGCAAACTTGGCAGGTAAAGAAGTAACTCAGAGTAGGCTGGGAATGTCCTTATTTTCTTTCTCAGATTTCCCAGGACGTCTTTATGATGAAACCAGCCACCTCCAAGTCAACTGCAACCAGAGCTCACCCCCTCCCGGTTTCCTAGGACTGCTTGCCCTGGCTTACATTTGCTCCTAAGCAGGAGGTCCAGACGGGTGGGCTCTCCCCCGAGACTGGGAACCTCAGAATAGCTGTTAAGTTATAAGCACAGGACCTCATGATTCTCAGTTGACTTGGCACAGGGGTTAAGCATTAGGCAGCCTCTTCCAGGTCTCCCTTCCAGCCTAGGGCGCAGGGAAGCTGTGCCCGGTAAGGAGGCAGAGCTGGGGTCATCATGGTTCAAAGTCTGATCTTATGCTTTGCAGGAGCAGAAACTCAATTCTGTCAGCTTTTCTGGGAGAAATCAAACCCTGGTAAATTGTTTTGCTCTGACCAATCTCACAGGAGCCTGGTTTATAACTAGAAGGGCAATGCATAAGTTTAAAGTGAAAAATAAACCGGACGAGCAGAGCAGCTGTTTGTGTTGGCTGGTGAACCCATGCTTTTCCCAGTGGTGAAAGCTTGAGGGTGACGGTTGGAAGGTTTCTTGGTGAAACTGGAATTGGAAGAAAGGAGCTGAATAGTATTGGGGGAGAGTGGCATGCTCACTTCTTTCCCATTTTTCCAAGAGAGAAACCTGGGCATTTCCTTGTGCCCCTGCCTCTCCCTCACCACCCCACCCGATACACACACCTGGAGGTGACCACGTCTCTTCATCTCTAGCCCCCTAATAATCTTTCAGACCAGGTCTCTCCTTTTCTGCTGCTACTCTCTTAAACGAGGTCTTCATACTGTCTTCCCTGGAATGTTGCACTGGCCTCCTGTGTTAGTTTTTTATTGCTACTATAACACATTACCATGGATTTAATGACTTAAAACAGCACGAGGCTCTAGGGAAGAATCCACTACCTTGCCTTTTACAGTTCCTGGAGGTCGGTCACTTGCATTCCTTGGCCGAAGCCTCTTTCCCACCTTCAAAGTCACATGTTCNCCTGGAGGTCAGTCACTTGCATTCTTGGCCGAAGCCTCTTTCCCCACCTTCAGAGTCACATGTTCCATTCCCTGACCATCTTTCCATAGTCACATCTCCCTCTGACCAGCACTGGGACAGGGTCTCCACCTTTAAGTGCTCATGGGATACATTGGGCCCCCCTGAATAGTCCAGGATGATCTTCCGATCTGAAAGGTCTTAACTTGATGACTCTGCAAAGGCCCATTTGTCATATAAAGTAACATATTCATAGGTTCTGGAGACAAGGATAAGAATATTTGGGGGCCGGCAGGGACTAGTATTTTGCCTACCCCACTTGCTAACTAGTTCTCCTGCCTCCTGTCCCTCATCTCACACTCTATTGTCTATATAACTTTCAGAAGCCTTTTAAAAACGAAATACTCATTTCGCTCCCCTGGGATTCTGTAATGACTGCTTCTCACCTGCAAGATCAAGTCCAGACTCCATTATACAGTGTTGAACACCCTTTATATGCTCCTTCCTACTTTCCAGCCTCTTTTCTACAAGCACTGAGTGCTCTCAGTCCCAATACTGCAAGTGTGGCCTGTGGACCTGAATTATCAGCATCACCTGGGAGCCTGTTAGAAATGAAGACTCTCAAGCCCTGCCCAGACCTCCGGAATAAAAATCAGACTTTTTACAAGATCCTCAGTTTGGGAAATACAGCTTTCAACATTCATAGCTTCTTATGTCTTTCCAAACTTACTGCACTTAAACAGAAAGGAATGTATGGGAATTCCTAGAACTAACTAGAAGGCTGAGGAAAGATACTCCGAAATTGGGAAGGATCCCAGAAGGCTGGGGGACAGGCAAGATTATGCCACAGGAAGGGTCTGGTTAGGAAGCTGCTGCCAATATTGTCACCATGGACACTGACTGCCAGCTGCCTGTGTCTTTGGGACATTCCCTGAAGATTCAAAATCCTGGATGGGGCCTTTGATTTTTCCAAGCCTGAGACCTTAGTAATCCTGCCTCTGTGGGGTTATAGTGACTCACTGACTTACCTCTGAATGAGACAGTAATAGGACATCCCCTGGAGCATCACTAACTTCCACCCACCCTCCTTCCTGCCACATTGTGGAGCAGCAACCCTGGTTCCCTTGGTAATCAGGATCAGTCACCCCATCAAAGCCCATATGTCTCTTTATTATCTATTTCCTAGTGGCATGGTGGTTCTGAAATGGCCAGGTGACAGTCTAGTCTCTGCTTCTATTTCATTGAAACCATCTGTATCCCTGCTAGAAGCATCCACCTTCCACGTACTAAAATTATTAAAAAGTAGAACTCAGAAGTTTAGGGTTGAAAAACAGAAATGTTTGAGTCAGACTGTTACAGGCACCTCTCACAAACACCAGAGAGGTGTTACCGGACAGCCCCGAGTCAGAGACAGAGGGCTGTCCCACCTCGGTTCTCGTCTGCTGTATGACTTAATTCAAACGAGTGACTCCAGATAATTGTGCTGTGTTAAAGCAGATTTATTAAGAAAGTAAAACTTGCAGATTTATTAAAGGAGCAAGGCAAGCAGATCTGTCATCCAGCATAAAGCGCGGATGGGCGCTGTCGGCTAATCTGAGGAGCCAGTTGGGTGGGGAGTTTCTGCCTTATATACTTTTCTGTCTATAGATTTAAAAATTCCTCTGCTGAATATCTTAGTACAGATTAATTTTCAAGGTCCCCTTTTTACTTTGTTGTGACTTTCCCAGAATTCATGAGAAGCACCTGGCCTGGCAATATTATCTTGCCAAGCCCTGAGACTGCTGGCTTTTCTGTTTAGGGAGTGAAATAAACTGCTCTTTTTTCCTTTCCCCTTCCCCCCTCCTTTCCTGCAGTCTCTCATTAGAGAGGCTTTTAACCATTTGCTCTCAAGTGTCCTTAGTTTGGGGAAGATAATGGCTTGTTATTTATAAGCCAGCTGCAAATTGCCCACACTGTTTGGCCTTGTTTAATTTTCTTGTCTCAGTTTCCCTGTTCCTCTTGTCCTGGAATTTTCCTAGCTTCTTGCTATCCTTTAACGAGACCAATGAATCTCAAACTTTAACATGCATATGTGTGAACAGAGGATTTCATTAAAATACACATTCTGATCTATTAGGTCTCAGGTGGGGCCTGGGATTCTCTATTTCTATGTATTTCCAACAAGCTTCTCCATGATTCCGAAGGTGCTGACTAAGCACAGGCCACAAATATCTGCGTTCTGGGGGTCCATTCACATCATTCCAAAATGTGATCACATCTCAACACCAGCTTCTTAGTCGTCCATCCAAGTACTTCACTGTGTTGCCAAATCCTTACCTGGTATTTTAAAATTACTTGGGATTTGTTTTAATCAGATATAGTAAGGCATGCAGATGCAGAAATGACTGTCATGAATGAAGAAGTTTTTAATTACAGCTCCCTAAAAGTGGGAGGCCCAGCATACCCACAGGGCCACATGGAGAAGCACCAGGGTTGGTCAGGAGTCAAGAAGCGTGAGGGGAATAGGTGGGCAACAACCTCTATTGTGGTTTCTGCAGGGAAGTCAATGTAAGGCAGGATAGTCAGGTTTAGGGCTGGCTAGTTGGAATAACTTCAGCAGGCTGTGGGGTGTGAGGGCTGCCCTAGTTGTCTTGGTACGCGGTTATTAGGGCTGTGAGAGCGCCATAACGGAGGTAGTTTGGAGTATGGGCTCTGGATTGGTCAGTTTGCATATGAAAGGTCCACTCTGGGGCAAGTCTTTTGCTATTTCTAAGAATTGGCTGGTCCTGGGAGGGAAAGTCTCCCCCAGTCAGCAAGGCCTCAAATGCCAGAGCATCAAAAGTACAGAAAATAAGAAAATATAGTTAATACATCTGGTGGCAGTGTGAAGGTGTCACCTCAGGACATTGCTCCTTGCAGGCTAAGTGCACTACTACAAGTTCTGCCTGCAGAGGAATTTCACTTCTTCACTCTCTCAGGGCCACTCAGACTATCCAGTTGTCCACTGTGAGATCCTGTCGG